TGCATTAAATAAAACACAAGGGACAGAGACCTTCCCTGGGCAGGTCGAGTAGACACACTTTTCCCTATTTCTCCCACTCAGCTTAACAAAAACCCCTGCACGTTATAAAAAAAGCAAAACAGGAGAAGACACTGAGAGGTGGAGAGAAGAGAGCAGACCAGCCAGAGGCCTCGGGACCTGAGTTAGTGACATGGTGCTAGTTCTTTAGTGATTTTTGCTGCTGTTGTTTGCTTGTGTGCTTCAAGTAAACAAGATCTAGAGCCAAAGCAGCTTGCACCCTGGAACTGCCAAAAGGCCTGGAGAAAAGAGGCTCAACAGAAGCCTGCTCCCTCTGGCCAAAGGACCTGCAAAGGTGACAGAAAACTTGTGAACACTAACAGTGCTACTGCAGCCAAACACCATTGGGAAGACAGCCTGGCCCCACCCATGCCAGCCACAGACCTCCAGCCTAGCCAGGCTGCCACCGGGGCCCCTCAGGCCTCACAAGGTGGTATCTGAGAAGCCAAGGGGAGCCTGGACTCCCCCCTAACTTGACAGTAACAGACACCTCCACTCCCCACTGGGTGGTGTTAGAAGAGCCTAGTGGAGACCACCCCTCACCCTCACTCCCCATCATGGTGTGTAGGGGCCAGTGGGGACAGGAGGCAGGTTTTCTCATCCTCCCTGCTAGGAGGCTCTCAATGGGAGCCTCATAAGAATGGGTCTCCTGGACCTGCCCAGCAGCACAGAGGAGCCTCCATGCAGGTGTCAACTGCGGCCAGTGGGCACCTGGACCTCAACCTCCCCCTGGCAGTCACGAGGCAGTCAGCTAAGACAACCACTGAAGTCTCAAAGCACAAAGCAATAAATTGCCATGAACCCCCATACCTGCTCCTGAAAGATCTTGGCCAAGGGGGCGCAGTCGGTCAGCTTGATGAACCTGACCACATCGGTGACCGTCCACTCCAGCGGGTTGCTCTCCAGGACCAGTCTCTCCTCTTCCTCCTGCTTTGTGTCCTGCAGAGGAGTGCAGGCAGGAGGTCAGTGACCGCAGCCCTGCGCAGTCAGCTGGACCCAGAATAGTCTCAGTCTCTAGGGAATTTCTTAGCAACTTGTCTTGGTGACTACTTCACCTATAATGACTGTGTGCCTTTAGAGATAAGAAACAAATACACACACACAAGGCACAGAGACAGCCATTCCGCATCCCCAGCTCAGGCAATGCAGGGCCTGCTTCCTGATGTGGCATCACTGATCAGAGAGAAGGGGGAACACTAAGGGGCACAGCTGGGTGACACAAGAGAGTACCATCTGTTCCCCAGGGACTTTTGTGAAGATGGTGTCAACTACCTTTCTAGCTGGCTGCATACCACCTACAGTTTAGGGGAGATGTGGTACACTATTTTATACCACCGCCAAGGGGTCCTACACGGGGGGGTAGGGGGCAAACAAAATGTGAGTGCAGTGACGGAGACACAGAGATGGAATTTTGGAAACCCAGTGTTCAAAGGGAACTGGAAGACCTGACCCCTCCCTCATCTTGACAGAATCCCTGGCAGTGTTAATGCCGTCCAAAGAAAAGATGCTGTCACTGCCCTGAAACTCCATCCTGATGTTTACCGCTCTGCAACAGGTGACACCTCCCTTTGCCCCAGACTCCAGAACTATGCTAGAGCAGCTGCTGCTGTTTTTGACATTTTAAAGGGGTTTCCTCAAATAGCAGCCCTGAACTGTGAGGCGTGTTCTGCGAGCAGGCGCATCACCTCTGTCCCCTTGGGCCTGGCGGGTGGGCCCTTCTCTCCCTCCTCTGCCGAGGAGGTGGCCGTGGTACTGCGGCCCCTCCGCACCCTCTCCACAGGTGGCTGGCGTGCGGGCTCCGAGCTGCTCCTCAGGGTGACAGCCCTGCGGGGCCTGGCCGATGGCACCTCTGCGGACGAGGTGTCTGTCTGGTCGTCCCGGAGCTCAGAGCTAGTGTCCTCGCTCCCACTGTCATCCTCCATGGCGTCTGCATCCTCCTCACTTTCCTGGGAGGAAGAGATGCACTGAAGGTGGGCAGGCAGAAGGGGATCTGTGCAAACGGGACAGGGTGGCCAGCAATGACAGGCCAGGCTCTGATCCCAGCTCACCGTCCTCCCCAGGGCCACTGCTATGAGTCAAATGTATCCCCAAAAGTTCATGTATTGGAAACTTGATCTCTATTGTAGAAGTGCTAAGAGGGTGTGTTCCCTGGACCCTGGACTTCCCCACCTCCAAAATGTAAGAAATTAAATTATCCGGTTTTAGGAATTCTGTTATAAACAACAGAAACAGACTAAAACAGCTGCCCAGTGCAAACCACTCAGCAAGGTGTGTCCACTGGGTCCCTGAAGACTAATTCGATAGTCCCAAGGGTGGACCCAATGAGGCCCTTTTCCAGCCAAAGCAGCTGAACACGTTAACTCTGTTTTCAACAAGTAAGGAGGAGGCTGCATCTTATTTCGTGTTTCTAACTGTTCTGCAGCAAACTGCAGGTGCAGCCTTCGCAGTAAAGCAGTCATGTTTGTTAGCAAGGGCTAACAAACATCAAATCCAAATGTCAGAAGGTGCTTCTGAACAGAACATACCTCCCCGGAGCCTGCTGTACAGTCCATGGTGGAAGATCTCCGTTTCTTCTGCACAAAAATGGATTTTCGTCGTTTCCTTCGTCTGGCTGGTTTAGGGTGTCTGCTTTCAATGTTGCTTTCCCCAATTGGGGGCTTAATGATCTTCTTTCTCTTTCCATAATAATAGGCTACAGGGAGAAAGATGATTAGAAACTTTTTTGAGTAATCCTGAGAGAAGAGCTCCACAGAGAGAAAACATTTCTCCAATATGTCACATTTAGTTATGGGCTGAATGATGCCCCCCTCCAATTCCATATGTGGAAGCCCTAACCCCCAATGTGACTGAATTTGGGGATGGTATCTCCTTTAAGAAGGTAATGAAGGTTAAATGAAGTCATGGGCCCTAATCCAACAGTGGGCCCTAATCCAGTAAGACTAATACAGGAAGAAAGAGACACCAGGGATGGAAGCCCACAGAGAAAAGGCCATGTAAGCACACAGAGAAGGTGGCCATCTACAAGTCAGGAAGAGAGCCCTCACCAGAAACCAGCCCTGCCAACACCGTGCTCTTGGACGTCAGCCTCCAGAACTGTGAGAAACAAATGTCTGTTGTTTAAGTACTCCAATCTGTGGTATCTTGTTGTGGCAGCCCCAGCAGACATATACAGAAGGTGTCTGCAGTTCTTTTAGGAGTTTATCTGCCCGCTTTCCTGGCCCCAAACACTGCATACAGTGGTGGCAATTACTTCCACTGAAGTACTCTGACACCTGCTCCTAAGTCTGAATCTTGAACACTCAGTCAATAAACAAACACTCTGTGAACATCTGTCATGTCCCTGTCACAGTGGATTTCCCCCATCTCTTGATTTGACCAAGACAAACCAGTGATCCTGAGCACACAGGCCAAATTAGTGAAGCACCACTTTTCTTTTCAAGTAGTGTTCCTCTCTGTTACACCATTATATACTTTACTCTCTTCTTATTCAGTCGAGACTTTCATTACCTCTGAATTCTATAGCAGAGATAAATGTCTGTATCAACACTTAAGGGCATACTATGGATCGAATGTGTCCCCAAAAGTCCTTGTGTTGGAAACTTGATCCCCACTGTAGCAGTGTTAAGAGGGCAGAAGATCCAATTACATTATTTGAAAGGTGGGGCCTTTAAGAGGTGATTAGACTGTGAGGAGAGTGCCCTTGTGAATGGATTGATCCATTCATGGAGTAACAGGCTGATGGTTTAATAGGTGGTCATGGCCATGGTTCTGACAGCTTTATAAGGAGAATGACTGAGGAAGTTAGCTCTCTCTTGCTCAGTCCATTCTCGCCATATGATACTCTGGTCTCCACAGGACCCTGGAGAGCATTCCCACTAAGAAGAAGACCTTCACCAGAGGGACTTCCCGGACTTCAGACTTCACAGCCTCCTAAACTATAAGAAATAAGTTTTGCTTCTTTAGAAGTTACCCAGTTTCAGGTTTTCTCCTATAAGCAACAGAAATGGACTAATACAGGACATTAGTTCAAAAATTATTTACCCATTTTCAATAATAAATTAATTAATTATACACTAAATGTATAATCAACTAATTCAAACCACTACTAAGAATCCAGTACTCAATGACGACTGTGATCAAGATGACATACTCACTAACCAAAGGCTCAACTGTCCTACTATGTAACTCCATGATTCCATAAAAGAACCAAATGCAGCCAAGGAACCTCTATCCACAGAGTGAGCTGAGAGAAAATGTCATAAATGCACAGCTCCTGGTTTACAGTGGCCACCCCCACTTGCAGGGAAGCATGATTTCAGCACAGGCCCACAGAGACGTAGGACTAAGCTTCGTTATACAGAGAAGTCACCCAACCTTTCTGGACCTCAAGTTCTTTACTTGCAAAATGAGACCACGAGGACTAACTAATGTAGGTTTCCTTCATGACTAAAATTCTCTATTTCCTGCAACCTCTCACTCACATCTGGTCCCTAAAGATGACCTATAAAAACTGCCAAGAATCAACACAATAGCAAACCTGTAACTCACAGAAAGGACACCTGCCCTGGACAGCCCCTGTGCATCTCATCAGCCTCTGGAGGGGGCCTGACCACAGGGCAGCTTGGAACATCCCATGTCCAGTTCAACTGGGACCACATTCCTTGATGAGCACAAACAGACTGCTATGGAATGAACGTGGTTTCATGGTTATTTCCAGGTCCAGGTACAAATGAACAAGCATTTGTCTACACCCCAAAACCTGAGTGGGCGCGGCAGAGCTGGTGTCGTCTGGTTTTTCAGAAGCAGGCTGCTGGAGATCAGAACTGGTTCTACTGAATGCAACCCAAGGTCAGTACGTTTTTAGAGTGCTGGAATTAGACTGGGTGATCCCTGCCCTTACTGATCGCTCTTGATTCCACCAAAGTATTTTTTTGTCATCTTCTCACTGGAGCTTCAACTCTATTTTTAGCAACATTCATTGTTGGTTAACCCAAGGGATCTCAGGATTTTGAAGTTTTATAATACCAGATCCAGAAAAATCTTTAAGTTCATTTCAGTTGTGCTTGAGTTGAATTGTAAAAACCTGCTCTTTCCCTCCCATCTCCCATATCCTGGAAGAATAGAGAGGCCCATTTGTACAGTAAACAATCAAGGCCAAGTTCAGCCCGCAGTCAAATCCTTTTCTATTCAGGAGTAGCTGCTACCTCAGGGAAGCCCTCCCTGGCCGAAGGTAAGGTGATGAGGGAACAAGTTCTTCAGAGAGCAGGGGGCGTGCTGTACGAACACACCTGCGGTTCCTCCCCATGAGACTGTGTGTGCAGACTGGTGGGGCTCCACGTGACAGACGGCCCAGCTGACCCTTAACGGGAACGGAGAGGAAAGTCGACAGGTGTGTGAGTGCGTGCACATGTGTGTACACAGAGAGAGGAGGTAAAACAGAAGGCCAGTCACACCCTGAATACTGCTTCAGGTAGTTCGAGATTCCTGGCTCCAACACACAAGCTGACAAATGACAAGTGGCCGTGGCTCAGGGCACAGGCCCCATCACGGGGGTCACGTCATGCCCTGGCAGCTGGCTGGAACACAAGCTGGCAGAGCCAACCTGCCCCTCAGATTAGAGATAACCAAGGGGAGATGTGGAAAGCTCAGAAGGCCAGGACTGGAGAGAAACAGGGCTTGAGATATCTGAGGTGGGGGTGTCTGGGAGTGGCTAGCATGGGAGAAGGTGGTCATCAGAGCAGAGGGAGGGCAGGTCTGAGAGAGGTGGTCCACAAAGGCAGAGTCACCACAGGGATGGGACAGCAGGGGCACGTGCTCTGAGTGGGGCAAGTGGTAGAGAGACAAAGGCAGTGGGAACACAAAAAGCGATGGAAAGCAATGGCTGCTTCCAAACTTGCCAGTCACTCCCCTTGACAGAGTTTTGAGGAACGTGTGTAAGCGGGGAGAAGCATGTCATGACAAACAAGGAGGGGCCCCCATGTAAAGACGGGCCATGAGAGAAGCCTTACGATGTCCCAGCGCACGGCCCAGCAAGTGATTCAGGTTACTAAGCATTCCTTAATTAGCTTTTGAATCAATCGATCCACTGAAATTCATGATAGCCGACGCATTCCCATGTCTTTTCCAAGGCCTGCAGTGACAGAGCATCCTGTTTTAATCACCCCCATCCCTTCCTTACGCCAGGCCAAAAGCACAATGCATCTGCCAGAGTAGATCCTGAAGAACTCTTCCACAGCGATTCCTATGGAAAACTCCTCAAAAGGTTCAAATATGCACCACAGCACAACACACCACCCTGCAGGCCTGTGGACTAATGTTTTTCTTATCACGAGTACTCACTGTACTTGGTTTTGGTATGAACGGAGCAGTTCTCTGGGCAGTTTTCAGAAACCAGCACAGGACTGAACAAGTTTGGACAGCATTCCAGCTTGGCGCAGACCCGTCGGCAGAAATTTGCTACCTGGTCGGATGTCCGCACGATCTTGACCACAGCCCTGTATGTTTTGCCTCTGTACCTAGCAAACAAGGAAGGGGGAGCATTGTTAAGGCCAGGTTATTATTCAGACTATTCTGAACAGCATATTCCAAAAACAGCCACTTCAGCCCTGGGATAACAGGGCTAAATCAGAATACACAGCAATGAAGGCCCCCATCGGCATGTTCTCACTGTGCTATACAGAGTATCATACCAAAGATTAGTATCATGTGGTACATATCTAAGTGGCATGGTTCCCAAACTGAAGATGGTGAAATATAATGGATATTTTCCTGTGGCTATATTTCATTTTTGAAAAACATGAGCATATATGGGATTCTGATTCTGAAAGCCATACAAATCTTTGTCAAGAGTGCATATCATATTGTTGAAATGAGGACAATTTCCATTATTCATGAACAGCATCAGTGCTGAATGGTCACAGGTAAGCAAGGTCACATTAAAAGGAGAGAAACACAATGGATTCTATAATAAAAAAAAAAACCAACCCAAACTAGAAAACCCAAAACTAGAAAAGTGCAGAGCACTTATATGAGCCCAGCAGAAATAGTAAGGGCTCCTGCATCACAGTCATCAGCCCTGAACTGAAATGGTAAAGCCTTTATCTAACTTCTCTTTGCCCAGCAGGATAACCACTCTCTCCTCTAGGTTGGGACAGTGGCAGATGGCTCCGTGAACTACACTTGCTCCCAGAGAAGCCATCTGCTTTGCAGTACTTCCTGCCACGGTTTTGGTTTCCCCTCTACAAAGCAGTAAATCTAATCCTTTCTGAACGTGCACACTTTCAGCAATTTCTCAGGGACTCAACCCTTGATTGAGTGACCAAGAGCAGATGAGGTCATACTGCCCCCTGTACAGTTCAGAGAACAGGCACTGGAATCAAGTCTTTCATATGTAACTTTCTTTTAATAACTTACTAGACTGAGGTCTTTAGAAAGTTACAGTCTTGATTTGTATATTAGGAATAATAAAATGCATTTTTCTAGTTAAAAACGAAAAAATCAAAGCAGTAAATCTAACCAAGGAACAACATAGGAGACTTTCACTCTTATTATGGACTGACCTGTGTCCTCCCCACCCCCATTAATCTACTGAAGCCCTAACCCCCCATGTGACTGTAATTGGAGATTGGGGCCTTTCAATAGGTAATTAAGGGTAAATGATGTCATAAGGGTAGGCCCTAATCCAGTAGGACTGGTGGCCTTATAAGAGGAGGAAGAGACACCAGGGATGTGCACGCAGAGGAAAGACCATGTGAGGACACCGCAAGAGGGAGGCCAGGAGAAACTAATCCCGGAACATTGATCTGGGAGTTCCAGCCTCCAGAGCTGTGAGAACACTGACGTCTGTTGCTTAAGTCCCCCAGCCTGTGCAATTTTGTTATGGCTGCTAGAGCTGACAAATCTCAAGGGGGAAAGGGAGGGACAAAGACGGGGACCCCAAGACCATCTGTTGACACCTCACCCCCAACCCCCAAAGGCACTTCTCCTGACCACGCTGTTGCCTGCTGTGCATTTCCCCTCTTGTGGTTTGTTTTCTAACAATTCTCTGAGGTCATCCTTAAGAGTTTTTCTCTGTATTTAGGGGAAGACTAGTCTAGACTAAGGGCACTGAAGCTTTCCCCAAAACTTTTTGAATGCACCTGAAAAATGAGACCTGGAAATTCAAACACCTTTTGTATGTATCCATAATGAACTGATTTTATGGTATGGGAATCCTAAAAATACAACTAACATTTGCACAGAGATGGCCACTTTACTGCCATGGTACTTAAATATTAATTATCTCTTATATCTTCCCCTTGGCCTGGTAACAACAGAAGAAAGTGAAATATTGCTTCCCATAAGCATAACTATTTAGCAAAAAGTGAAAATTAAGCCCCCTTCCTCCCTCCCCCATCCATTAAGAGGACAAGGAATTTAGAGGGAGGATGCATCCAGAATCTACATACAGTCATTTGTTGCTTTTACTTTTGGGGAAAAAACTCTCTCCTCCCCAAGAAAAACTACATGTAATGAAGGCACCAACATAAAACTAGCAAGCAGATCTACTGGAAAGCCAATTGTGTGGGTTCTTGTAAAAATAGGTACTGAAGCCCTTATCCAAATATTTATGGTAATATGATATAAGTAATTCCTGGCTGGAAACATGAGCACTTGGAAATAAGTTTCAACCACCTTTCAATACATTTTGAGACACAGTAGTGATAAACTTTCAGTTGGCAACAGATCACAGGTCTTTCTTTAGTTCGCATCCCACTAAACTTCGAGGCCACTCAAATGTGAACCCATCAAAATAGCTGTGCCTCGATGGGCACCCTTTTTTCAAGTTGAAATCTTGACTGACGATTTTGCAGAAAAGCAGCATGCAGTGGTAGCTTTGGCAGATAACACTTGTGTTTGTTTTTGGGAAACCAACCAAAGTAAGAGAAATGAACTTCCAAGGTAAACAGACATTGCCGACCAGCGAGGGAGGACCTGAAACCTTGGCCTAACCTGCTCTTTTGCACACTCTTGTGTCCAGGTCTCCAACAGTCCACTCCAGAACACAACAGGAATGTCAGGCAATGAATTCATAAAAATATGAGAATGAACTAAGGAGACCACCACTTTTGGAATTTGCAAACAAAACACTGACTTCAAAACCTTGATCATCTGGTTCACAAAGAATAATGCAATGATAGAAGTAAACAGAAAAAACTGCCACTGAGTATATTTTAACTTTTTTTTTAATGTCTTTCTGGAGACGGGAAAAATGTTTCTTCTAATAAATCATTTTTATAGTTATCAACAGCAAAAAAAAAAAAAAGAATTCTAACTTGAAAAAGAATGTACGTTATATTTATTCACTGGTCTTTCATATCCTAGTCACTCTGGATTCCTTTCTCTTCAGTTTCTCTGATGTGCCAAGCTCAACTTTCTGTGTAGTAAAACCTAAAAAGCAATCTTTTGTAGATAACATCATGCTTTAAATTCTACAGCCTGTTGATTTCTGTAGGACCTCCACCGACCCTACATGGAGAAACTTCCCTCTCTAGGACTCGCTTTTGGGTGTTTCTTGCTTACTGTTTTTGTTGTGCAACAAATAAAACGCAACTCTGTGGACATGGACTATCCCTCATGCTGGGGGAAATGTAGAATAAAGATATTTGACAGGTACATTTTCTCTTGCAGTTTTAGCCACTATGTGTTTGGTGGTCCTAGGGCTCTGTTCAAAAGGGTTCGATACTGAGGTTCTTAAAGTCTCTTATAAAAATAAAAAAGACACAAAAAAGCAGGAGAAATGTGAAAAACAGGTCAGACATCCAACTGTGGAAGGAGAGCTCAAAGACAAGATACTTATGTGTCCCAAACCCCCACATTACAAAGCCCACACGTATAGTGACACTTCAGAGGGAGGCACGGAGAAGGGAGAAGTTGCTCATGGGAAATGGGAAAAGGACAGCTTTATCTTTTCTTGCTAGTTTGGGAGGATTCAGTGGAAGCAAGTGTCTTCAGGAGACCTTCGACAACGAGGAACAGACTGTGCACGTGCATGCAAATAGGAACTGCAGCAGAGCTTACAGAGGGTGTCTCCTTTCCTCCTCCCTGCCTTTCCTCAACGTTTCCCTCTAGAAGCCATGCTAGGGTGGGGGGACTGAGCACTGCTGGGGGGATCCACCACATTCGGCTGGGACCCATTCACAGAAAGACCTGCCACCCCGGCTGCTGGGAGGACTGCTGGCAGACAGCCTTCAGTAGCAGTCCCATAAGGCTTTGCAAAAAGCTGCCTTGCGCCCTGCTTTTCCCAGGATGGCCCTGGGACTGACAGTGGACGAGGTGAAAAGACCTGGCCACCTGAGCGTCAGGCTTCATCATGGGTGATCCCCGACTGCCCAATCCTGCTGCCGTCCCTCCCTCCCAAAGGTGTTGGTCCCATGGGCCCCCCTTACTGAAGTCCGTCAGGGAGGAAGCACAACAAGCATGGTGGAGGGGGCCATGGGGCCAGATCAAATAAACCAATAAGCCAAAGAGAGATGGCATGAGCCAACCTTCTGCTGTCAGAGAGGGGTATTGCAAATGGAAGAAAGGAAAAAGGTAGGGTGGACCCTGGGGTGCAGGACTGGAACTCAGCCTGGATGCAACCAGGTGTGAGCATTAGAGGGTTAACACGCAGGCCTTCAAAAAGCCTGACAGCAAGGCTGGCTTTGGCTGGCATCTGGGAACGTGGATTTTGGAAGTGCTGAGAGAGATTTACTGTGACTACACTGCTTGTGCAAACCATGTGGTCTTCGCCGAACAACTGCTTTCCCTCTGGAATTTGGTACCTGCTAGGCAGAGCAGCCAGCCCCCAATTACAATCCTGGGCAGAAACATCACACATGTGCTGCGGCATTTTTGTTGCTGGGGGAAAAGTATGTTCCATGTGACCCCTCACGGGAGAGACAGCATGTAAGGAAGCTGCACACTGCGCCTCTTCCAGACTCAGCCTGTGTTTATTTTCCTTATGATCTCACTGCATTGCTGCAATAATCTTAGCCATGAGTACAGCTATATGCCGAGTCACATGAGTCCTTGTAGCACATCTCTAAACGGGTGGTCCTGGGAACTCCCCACCCAACAGTTATAGAAATAAATATAAATGCAAGTGTGTTTGCATATATGCCTACATAGACACACATGCATGTGTATACATACAGGGAGACCCCCACACACAAACACCGAGCTGTGCCCACCGAGTGGCAGGAGTGACCTCCCAACAGCAGTGAGCACACCTCATGGCAGGTCTAATCTCTAAATACCATTTTCTACTTAGAAAAAAATTCCCACCACAAAATGACAAGAAACAAATGACGGTTCCCTGGAGAAATAGCTAATGCCAGGCCTGGGTCTGGAAAGGCAGAGTCAGCAGCAAGAAGACCACAACCTTTCTCCTGTGATATTCTTGCTGAAGGGGCACGTGCTGAATCCAGCACAGGAATCAAAAACACAAAACCAAGTGGCATTCTATACAAGAAGTGCCCCATAGTCTTCAAAGGCG